CTTCGACTTGGACAATTATGCACTCTCGAATGGAGTCCAATGTGTAGAAGAACGAGGTGTCGTTGTTCCACTCCAGGTCGTAGGCGATCGAGCCTAGTTGGTGCCGTATGATGTTGAAGTTCCGATCGTTGGGCCAGTCGTACCAGAGGTCGATGAGCTGGAATTGGTAGGGCCATGGGGCGGGAACTGGGTCCTCTGATGACGGCAATGCGCGGCAGAGAGAGGCGGCGAGGAGGATAAGGATGGGACGGCGGTGATGGGTTTGGGCAGTGAAGCCATTGTCGTTGGTAGCTTGGTGTAAATTGGTCAAAATCGGAAGTTTAGGGGACATCATTTCTGAATTTTTCACTTCTGTAGGTGCCTGGTTCATCCTTTCTCCGGTTGATCTTTGAAGTAGTTGATTCCTGAATGCTCAAGGTATGGCCTGCCACATTGGTTGTAAGCATCGCAGATCTGTTGGTTGTGCGATTCCTACAGGTGCAGCCCTTTAGTTTCTGCTTCTGCGACTGCTGCTTATCTCCTTGAAAGGAGTTAAACTCAATAAGCCAAGTCTGGAGATGAAAAAGCAGATGAAAATCGAAGGCCAAAACTCTATAGAAAGAGAGAGAGAGAAAGCTTTTCCGAATCTGGAGTTTTTAGAGAGAGAAAGTAAGAAGGAGGGACGAGAGAAAGTAAGTGGGGGTTTTCTGGAAAAGCCCACGGAGGGAGGTTCTGGGTTTCTGCAGATTCACGGTGGAGTATGGTGAGGTCTCACGGTGGTGAGATGGAAAAATGAAAGAGAAACGACATAACTTTTCGTGTCATTTCCCACAAACGGCGCCAAATGTTGATGCACAAAACCGGAGGTCTTGGAACAACATAAATTCGACCGTGAATCTGCAAGAAATGTAAATAACACAAGATGTATCGTGGTTCACTCCAAGGTTTGGGCTACGTCCACACTGATTATGTATTTATTTAAGGGAGAGAGAGCTCTGAGAGTGAGAGCTTTGAGAGGGGGTGAGAGGGCCTAGGAATTGGTCTCCCCTCATTGTGAGGGTGAGGAGTCCTTTTATAGAATAAGGGCTCCTCACTTATTACATATTTGCCCCTTCCTTTATTACATAATTACATTTAAATTCCCCGAGTATTTGTACGAGATCTTAAATATGGAGGCCCTAAGTATGGTATAAACAAGTCTAAAATATAATGTGACAAATAAAAATTTAAGATGAACTAAAATATTAATTTTTATAAAGTTGTTCGAGATAATACTTTATTTTTTTAGAGTTTATGCCACGTCATACAGCTTGTGGGTAAGTAATCGTCAAGATGAATATGTTCACCCCCTAAATTCGTCATGGGCCTCGCGGGCATGCCAGGAAAACTTGAACAAGAAACTGAGGGTTGTGAGCGTGTCACTACTAGTTACCATTAGTAGATGGATTTGAGTGATAAGATTGGCCTGAATTCAACTTCTAACCAAAAGATTGTGTCATTAAGTGGGAGTGGCTCAAATCAAGGTTCTTTCTTTACCTTAAAGATAAGGACTTTACTTATGTGAGAGAAATGTAACAATATGTAAATAACAAGTTTGCTGGAAGTGTAAATAATAGAGGAAAGTGAATGACTGGTAATGTAAATTGCTTGTAAATTAAATGACTAGAAATGTAGTTGTACAGAAATGTAATTATTTAAAGTACAAAGCATTACAAGTACAAAGACATGTCAAATACAAGATTGGAGCTTGTTCCCAAGGAATCAGGCAAGTTACTATAGTCTTGCGAGCAATTTTTGGTGGTTTGGAGAATGGCTTTGAAGGTTGAAATGAATATACAAAGGAAATCGATGTTGTCGAGTGAGCAGCAGAGCTTTAAAAGGAAATACAAGGCTTTGAAAAGAAATACAAGGCTTGTGCAAGGAATTGAAGTATTAAAAAGGGCTGCTGAGCTAATATATTGAGGAATTGATTTGAGTGTAGTTGTTTGATTGATTGGTTGAGTGTCCATACCTTTTGCTTTTGCTTCTTTATATACAGAACTAAGGAAGCCCCTTTGTTGAGGACATTGAACCTATACAGAGAAGTTTCACTGCCCACTTGCAATGAATTAATATTAAAAGAAGTCAACTTGCATATAAAATAATATTAAAAGAAGTAAGTTGGTTTTCCACCACATATCCATCTCCCAAGTCTGCCAACATCTTTACTTGCAATAAAGCCACCACTTCAAACCATGTAGAGAAACATTCCCACATGCAACTTTTAGTATATTTGCACATTAATTCCCCAAAATGTCATATTTTGGCTTTAAACCCAAATAAGTAAAATTGTGCATATTTTTGGTGCAAATAGAACACTTTCGTATCTAAGCCAAAATTAATGTTTCTAACTTCTCAAACATTTTTACAACTTGGCACAGAACTTTTGATAAGCTTTTATAGTTTAATTTCTTTCTTTTCCTAACGTTACATCTTGGAAGTTGGCATTCTCTATTTTCCACTATTAATGTAATTCTTTGTATCCATACAACTTTAATTAACAATAACTAAGTAAAGAATTTTTTTTTTAACTATACCTCTATTAAGTAATAACCTCTTTATAGTAAAAAAATTAGTCTAATCCAAAATTATATAGAGGTTTTACTATGTAGTCACAAACAATAATTGAAGAAAAAACTAGTGAAACGAGCTTCAAAATTTTGAATCTTATCTAAAAACCAAGTAATAAGTTTATTTAATAGTTAGGACAAAGTCCAACATCAAACAAGCCCAAAAAGACTTAGCCCAAGAAATGAGTTTCTAGTTTTACCCCTAACGGCAAACCTTTTCCATCCTCTATCCGCTTCTCAATCTTTCAACATAATCCCTATTTCTCGATCTCGTTTCTCAATCTCTCTGCTTAATCTCGATCTCTCATCTGCACAAAAACAATTCATCCACTTTTGTAATCGATTAGATCTCTCTACCTCTCTCTCGATCTCTCCACATCTCTGGTTTCATTCTCAATTTCATTCGAATTCCACCATTTTTTTTGGAATCACCATATTAGGAGCCTTTTGAGGATGAAGGAATTTGGGCTATTGGGTTTTGGGCATCACCTAGCATCAACATTGGTGGGACTACTAGGTACATGCACTTCAACCAAATGGCCACTCTCAAGTTATTGCCAAATCTTGTTGCTGCGATGAAGAAATGCAGAGCATATATGCCACAAGGTGGAGAGGACTTGTACGACGAGAGTAACAAGGAGTCTTCGAATAGTGACCGGAATATCTAGAGACTAGTCGGTGTGGTGTTTATGTGAGAGTTAATCGTAGAGGTTTAAGGGTGCGATTGTGAATGGTGAGATTGTTTATACCCGAGAGAGAAGGGCTCGAATCAATGGCGGTAATGGGGTTTCGAAGGAGACGGGGATATGAGAGGAAGGGCTTGGAAGCCGAGAATTGAGAAAGCCCTTCTCATCAATTAGTTGACTGTTTAGCTAAAGATGAGTCAAATTGCAATTTGGAGATATCCAAGGGGTAGACATGAGGGTGGCAGTAAACGGTCAGGGCCTTCGGGTGAGGAGCACGATATGGAAGCAAACTTGGTTGAACTGAACTTGTAGTCAATGTTCTGTTTAAGAAATAGTGATATTATCATTGTTCAGTTTTATAAATAATGTAGTATCGATGTTTAATTTCATAAACAGTGTAATACCAATGTTTAGTTTTATAAATTGTGTAGTAATCGTGTTCGGTTTCATAAATAATGTAGTACCCGTAACCTGTTTCCAAAATAGTGTAGTACCCATATTCAGTTTCAGAAATAGTCAGTGCTCAGCTTAAGAAATAGTGACAGTACCAGTGTTCAGTTTCATAAATAGTGTAGTATCCGTGTTCATTTTCAAAAAAGTTAGTATCTAGTTTAAAAAATAATTATAGTACTTGTGTTCAGTTCTAAAAATAGTGGTAACAACTTTTTAAACCCTCAACAATTTCAAACTAACTCTACAAATACCTTATATGAAATTTATATTAATCTTATTTTGATTTTATAAATATTTCAATTTGCATTTCATCACAATTTTTTTTTTTCGAAAAACATCGATATATTATTGAAACTCATAATAATGAAATTAGGAGGTTTTTCGAAACAAACTAATTCATTGTCAATGGAAGCAGCAAACTAATTTTGATATGGTATTTTGAAATGGATGCACTTATCTTTATAGCCCTAATTATAATGCTAATAAATTAATAATTAATTAATAATAATGGACTAATAATTGGGGATGAAGGTTCTAATTTTGATCAATGGCTCTAATTTAAATTCCATTCTTCTCACCTTTTCATGCAAACATAAACACAACCAAACAAATATACAATGGGAGGTCGGCCCCGACAAACTTTTCATGCAATTCAAAGCATAATGGAAAAACTCAACTTTCTAATGGAATTGGACTGGCGGAACAGGGTTTCCGTCAGGGGTATTAGTTGGAAAAATAGAATTTAGTTTTGCACATGGGCTTATTTCCTATTTATAAGGCTTTAGTTTTTGTCCTTATTATATTGTCTTTTGTCATTTTCATTAAATTTCAAGTCTTTTACATTAAATAAAGTTAGTGAATGATTTTTTGTTAAAACTAACTTGGCCCAAGTCCTTTTTATTAAAGTTTCCTAACTTGAGACCTCTCGTGACTATTATAATTAACAAGAAGGGTAGAGAAAACCTTTCCACTACTAGCAGACAAGAGTTCATATTAATTAAATATCGACCACATGATCAATTATCAACAACGTAATTTTAAAGAGATTTGAAAAATAATTTTGAATTTTTATTTTTTACTATGAGTGATATTGTTCTAATCTACACTAATGACAGTCCACAAAGTTTAAAATCAAGACGAGCTAAAAAAAAAAATTAAAGAATTATCGTCTCTCTAATTTTTTGGGATGTGTTATCTATACCCTTCTTTTTATTTTTTATATATCTCTTGTTAACAAAAAAGGTGAACCGCCTGCCAGGTATATGGAGTGTTGACCCGGTTGGCTTTGATGCCTCCGATTCGCACCTCAAACGCAAAATCCCTAAATAACACAACACAAAGTTGGATCAAAATATTGCAACCTAAAATCCAAAAAAAACATGGACGAGAAAGACGACAACAAAACCGGGGAAATCGAGGAAACGGGCCCAAAATCCGACGGGTCTTCTCCGAACCCGAATCCCAAAACTGCGAGGACGAAGGTTCCAGAAGTGGAAGTCTGCCTGTATCGACGGGGGAAAGGCCCGATCGACACGTTCAAGTCGGGTCTGGGGGGTTGGGACCAGAACCAGTTGGAGGTCGGAGACATTCTCGACAAGTATGGATTCAAATCGCTTTACGCTTTCAATACCGAATCGGGTCGCGGGGTTCCGATCCGGTTTAACCCTAGAAACGGCAGGTCTATGCTGCCGTATAGAGATGGAGCCACGGTTCAAATCGACGGAGAGCCTAAGGTAAAATTTCGTAAGATTCTCCTTTTGTTACAACATGATTGCCAAAACCCAATTGATGAAATTAGTCTGATGAATTTTCTGTTTGGATGCCGAGAAAATTGTATTGTAATCTTTTTTTATTGAATTGTATTTAAATAAATGTACTTTGCATGTGTGAGAGAGATACATTAGTGTTTTTTGGTTTGGGGTTATACATATTCAGTTGTCACTCTCGAGTAGCAATATAGTAGTTCCTCCTACAGTTAGAGGCTTTAGAATTTAGATCAAGAGATATCAGCTACTTACTTGGTAGAATTCGAGCCATCGTGTTCATATTTCGATTAGTTTTTCTTGCTACATTTCATTTGTGGCTTAAGCATGGAAGTAATTTTAACGCCCCCTACGTGAATTATCTTGTTGAGCTTTGATTGTTTGTTTGATAAACACCGGGTTTTACGACCACATATTCCTAAAAAGTAGGTTTCACATCGTTATTTTGGTGGATGCTTTGCCCATTTTTATGACGAGCAAATGTGCAATCACCCCACTTAAAGTGATTGGGTTTAGGCACCGTGCTAATGGCACTGCGCCACAACCACATGGCGGTGTTGTTAACCATAACATGAGTGGTTACCCACTAAATCCATCTGTGGGATTTCAATTCGTTCGTCTATTTCATGAGCAGTTCGCCAGGATTCAGGATCTGCTGACATTATTACCTTTCTGTATCGTTTGTGTTTCCATCCTCCCATTTCCTTCCTATTACAAATACTGAAAGAGGAATGCTTGCAACTGTTTTATTTTCATTTTCCACAACACTCTTTAGTTGCAGTTTTGTAGACAGCGGAATATTATATTGACATGTGAAATGTCTTTTGGTGCCAGTTTTGCTACTGAGTTCTTGTATGTTCAAATTCTCTTAATGCAGGATTCCATGATCCAACCGGTGACGAAAATCTTGATTGGAGTAGCTTTTATGACCATCCTGATAACCTTGGTTTTGAGGGATCCTCCGCAATGGATCCAGAAATTAAACTTTACCGGAGGCAACTTCCCTCCATGGATCATCGCTCTCGTGATCATAGTATTTACTCGAATGAGGAAGAGAACCAGGGATTTGCTGAAAAAGTTTGGTTGGTGAAAGGCGCCATTGATGCTTCTCTTCTAAGGTACTCTGAAGTATTTACTGAAGTTTGACAACAAAAAAAGCAACACTCATCTGTGCGTCGTCACTCATCCGCGACAACCTGTATCGGGATTAGACTTCGTCACAAGTATAATCCCCTACAAGACTTTGCGGATGTACATAAGGGGGCATTTTCCATAGTTTCCCACTTTCATTTTATGTAGCTTCTGCAAAGAATCCAAGATTTGTATGCTTGATTTCTAGAAGAATTGTGCATTTATTGATTTTGAACTGCTAGTAAGCTGGCAGTGGAGGTTGAAGACATTATTCCAAGGATTTGAAAAACTTACTTATTTTTTGGTATGTTGCAAAAGTGTATTCGTAACCTAGGAAAAGGATTAGCTCCGTCTACTGGGCGGTGGTCCCAGCCTGGAACCCGTCGGTTGTTGCCGAGCGCTTGTTCTTTAGGTTGTTGTCCAGCCCAAAAACCCTAAACGCGATTTACATTCCAAAGATTATAAAGTCTATAAAAACAAGGAATTGAAGAAGTGATGGAGGGTGGACAACCGAAACAACCAAGAATTTTTTGAAGTCGGAGGTTCCAAGTTTGTGTGAGGGGAGAGTTACTGCTGGCAATGATTGTTGGTTTTTGGTTTGATTACTAATAATAACACGGTTCTGATTGACATGGTAGGCTAAGTTATGTAGGTAATGTTGGGAGAAACTCTTTTGTAACCAGACATCACGTAACAAACGTCTATTAAATGGCTTGTGTACATTCTGAATATGTAGCATTTGAAGTGAAGGGGAATTGGATCAACTAGCCCTCCAGTCAACATGATACCTAAATTTTTAGGTATTTGGTTATGGAGTTTAAAGATGGGAACTTTAACGAAAAGCACCAAGTACAGTTCACTTTAACGAAAAACCACATTTTTACACTAAAAAGTCAATCCTGATACTATTCACTTTACCCTTTATTTTGTCCTTATCATTAAAACTCAAAGTTTTCAAGCCCTTTTCATTAGTTTTCCTTTTAACGATAAGCTAACATTTTTCTTCGATTTCTTACGTGTTAGTAATCATTGGGAAAATTTTAGAAGTAAAACGACTCACATAGTATATTTAGTAAACACAAGAAACTCTAAATGAATATCCATACTTGGGTTACATAGAAAACAAAAGTCGTAAAAAGAATCAAAGATTAAGATCACATAAGTAACTCTACCCCATATATTAACTTTCAAAATTCCATGAAGTTGATTCTCTCACAAGTCAAAACTACAAGCATCGATTTCGTTTTCAAGGTCAAAGCAAAACTCACAGTGACTACTTTCCTTGGCGTTCCTCTGACAAAAACAGGGACCACTTTCCTCAGAATGGCAAAAGTCGAGCATCGCTAAACAACACAACTTAGTATACAACGTGTACAAACAATGGCTATGAATCGGGACAACAAAACAATGAAAACTGGGCAACCCAGCAGTGGAGGTGAATCGCGCTAATAAATTCAGCATGCACAGCCACCTCCTCCTCTTTGATCAGACTCTGAAACAGCATCAGGGATGCCCTGGAAATATCTGCAAGTTAAAAGGAAAAAGGAACAATGATGAAAAAGGCAGGTTTGGAGGGTCATAAAATATCTCATACAAGCATACAGCAACAATAGCAGAAAGATAGATACTGATACATTGCAGATACAAGGTTGGGGTAAATTGAAAGGTAATCTGAAGTTCGGGACACCATAATCCGATTGAAAGGTTTTCGTGTTCTCAAGGACATTACATTAACATCATATGCTTATTCTACCAAGATCAAATGCTCATCCTCTGATGCGAATGGTCGGCTTTATCTCACATATTGTGACTAGTGAAACCAAGCTTTATTTACGCATACGACGACCATTCTTTCCCTAGAACATCTTAACTAAGTTCTAACACGACCATTTCACTAGGTTTATATCCTTCATGTCATAAAAGTGAACTAGAAACTACCTTCATAGTGAAAACTAGCTATCATGTTCATTCTATCTAATTCTTGTCTATATAACAAAGACTATGACCCGACATTCTATATAGAATTATCCATCTACTATGCAAGTGGTTCCAAACGAGAGCTTATGTTCATCTTCTGGATCTGGAGTAGCCCACGAACTTAAATATATCCTAAAATAGAACTTTGCTTACTCCAGAATATCAATGGAACAAAAGAGAACATGTCAGCCCTCACTATGAACTTACATGTCCTGCTCATTTTCATTTGCAAGAGCAGTCTTTGCAATACAAAGAAATGCAGCATCAACGTTGTAATCTTCTTTTGCTGATGTCTCAAAGTAAGGTACATTCCCCTTTGATGCACACCAGTCCTTTGCTTTCTTCTCAGACACCTGTAAAGATAATAATTAGATAATGTACATGGGCAAATCATGGACAGCACTGCGAATGTGTTTCCTTACCACACGACTGTTACCCCCATCAATATCAATCTTGTTACCAAGCAATATAAATGGAAATGTCCTGGGGTCGGGAGGGTTGGCCTGGGCAAAAATTAGAATGGAAACAATGTAAGCATCAAAACAAAAAATGAGAATTTCTGAAATACAAAATTCAAATTACAATTAAATCAAATTACAAAAAATGGGGTCGGGAGGGTTGGACTGTTAGCCAAATGGCTTAGGTATATATTTACGACTTTCATAACTCTTAAGAGACACCTTTATCAATTAAATCAAATACAAACAACAACAACAACATCAAAGCCTTTTCCCACTAAGTGGGGTCGACTATATGAATCCTAGAACGCCATTGCGGTCGGTTTTGTGTCATGTCCTCCGTTAGATCCAAGTATTCTTAAGTCTTTTCTTAGGGTCTCTTCCAAAGTTTTCCTTGATCTTCCTCTACCCCTTCGGCCCCGAACCTCTGTTCCGTAGTCACATCTTCGAACCAGAACGTCAGTAGGCCTTCTTTGCACATGTCCAAACCACCGTAACCGATTTTCTCTCATCTTTCCTTCAACTTCGGCTACTCCTACTTTACCTCGGATATCCTCATTCACAATCTTATCTTTTCTCGTGTGCCCACACATCCCACGAAGCATCCTTAGCTCCGCTACACCCATTTTGTGTACGTGTTGATGCTTCACCGCCCAACATTCTGTGTCATACAACATCGCTGGCCTTATTGCCGTCCTATAAAATTTTCCCTTGAGCTTCAGTGACCTACGACGGTCACACAACACGGCAGATGCACTCTTACACTTCATCCATCCAGCTTGTATTCTATGGTTGAGATCTCCATCTAATTCTCCGTTCTCTTGCAAGATAGATCCTAGGTAGCGAAAACGGTCGCTTTTTGTGATCTTTGCTAGATTGCTCCGGTCATTAGTGTGGATAAGTATATAAATGGATAGAGATAGGAAAGCAGACACCAGATGTACGTGGTTCACCCATATTGGCTACGTCCACGAAATAGAAGAGTTCTCATTAATTGTGAAGGGTTTACACAAGTACATAGGTTCAAACTCTCTTTTAGTGAGTACAAGTGAATGATTTAGTACAAATGACATTAGGAAATATTGTGGGAGAATGATCTCGTAATCACGAAACTTCTAAGTACCGGAGCGTGGTATCTTCTTGACTTGCCTTATCTGTCTCTTTGGTAGATGTGGCATCTTCTCTGGAAGTACTCTTCCTCTATCCAGGGGTGGTATCTTTAACTGGTGGAGATGCACAAGGTAGTGTATCAATTTCACTTGAAGCTTACTTGTAGTTTCAGGCTTGGTCAAGCGCGATACAAACCATGTAGTAGGAGTCATCCAAGTCGCCGAGCTAGGGGATCTGTTGAAAGAGGTGACAGACAAGGTAAGCAATCAGAGCTCCAAGCAATCAGTCCCAGATCAGAACTTTGATTTCGAGTTCCGGCTAATTGTTCACATTCTCCCTATTTTGCAGGCAGCATGAAGGATAAAGAGGAAAAATGAGAAGAGATGATATGGGATACTTTTGCTTTTGAAGAAGTAACTTTCCACAAGCTTATTCTTGAACTGGGCTGGAGGGTTTTCTGGTTTCCTCCAGAGTATAAGGCCAACTGAAGAATTTGAGGGTCAAAACAAGTCCATCAAATCTATAGTACGTTCGACCCTGCTGATATGGAATACTTTTGCTTTTGACAGAGTAGTGGATTATCGGCACGTGTGCTGTTACACTTGTCTCCACATGCTTCCTTGTATCCTTCTCACTTGCCCTATCTGTTCCTCAGGCAGATGCGGTATCTTCCCTGGAAGCATAAGATGTTGAAGATGAGTACTCGAGAGCAATGCCAGGTAAGTAATCAAGTAAAGGGTTCCAGGCAGTCAGTTCCTGATTGGAAGCTTGATTCCAAGTGCTGACTGATTGCTCTCTTTCTCCTTGTCTTGCAGGTAAGAACAAGGCCACAGGAAAAGACAGGGAAAAAACATGATATGGGATACTCTTGCTTTTAACCCTGATGATATGAGATATTCTTGCTCTAGTATAGCTTGTTTGCAAAGGTATTATCGGGGGGAAAGAAAGTTGAATATTTCGAAAGGCTTCTTTGGGAGTGCCCTCTCAGATATGAGGAAGGGTTGAGCATTTTTGCAGGTATGCCTGTCTGTTGGGGATGGAGGTCAACATATATAGGAGTCTCCCTAACAACAAATAGTAATGCTATTCCTTTACCATGCTTGGTTATAACACGGTAGTGGGAGCTGCCAGCTTCACATGTTTTAACTCTGTCAGAGCACTTTGAAAAAGTGGTCTGTGGTATCTGGAAAGCTGATGTTGCGTGTAAAGATTACAGACAAGCTTTATCCAAGGAAATCCGGCTCTTGAAGTTGGGAAAGTGGTGCCTCTTCGGTTTTCGAACAAGCAATCCTGTCGGAGATCTGGCTCTCGAGATTCGGAGAACGATGCCTTTTCGATTTTTGAGAAAGCAATCCTGCTAGGGGTCTGGCTCTCGAGATTCGGAGAGCGGTGTCTCTTCGATTTTTGAAAAAGTAATCATGTTGGGAGTCTGGCTCTCGAGATTCGGAGAGAGGTGCCTCTTCGATTTTGGAGCAAGCAATCTTGTTGGGAGTGTTTTCTCGAATGTGAGAAAAGGTTGGCATGCTTGCTAGTCTATCTTGCCACGAAGCACAGAGGTTGACACATGGACTTTCTAATTATCCAGCAGTGGTACTGTTCCTTTACCCTTTTGGGTAATAATATGGTAGCTAGACCTTCAAAATTTATGTGTCTAAACTTTGTTAGTATTGTTTCTTTGCTATTCTTTTACCCTTCTTGGTCAGAGCGGTGTAGTGGGAGCTGCAAGCTTCACGTGTCTCAACTTTGTCAGAGAACCTTGGCAAAGTTATCTGTGGTACTCATGAGCTAATGTTGTGTGTGGGAAGTGGGTGATTGAACAGTAAGATTCATGTGCTTTCTACTTCACCAGAAATCTTCGACATAATGCCCATAATTTCCGCAAAGCTGACAGGTGCTGACAAGGCTGGAAAAGTAGGTGCCTCTTCGATTTCTGAGATCGGCCTTCGTGGTCTCTGAGCAGCCCAACTTTTGAGAAAGCAAGCGCCTCTTCGATTTCTGAGATCGGCCTTCGTGGTCTTTGAGCAGCCCAACTTTTGAGAAAGCAAACGTCTCGTGATATCTGAGCAGCCCAGCTTTTGGGAAAGCAAACGCCTTTTCGATTTCTAAAGCTCTGTCGAGTGCAGATTTTTATAGAGGCTAGCATTAAGTTCCAAAGCACACTTGAATCTTCACCAGTAAAAGCTCCATTCTTGCACTTCTAAGATCTTGATTTGTCCGACCTCTTCTCTCTTCAACACCTTTGAAAATGTCTGGCCCCTCCGACCGTCGTTTTGACTTGAATCTTGTTGAAGAGGCAGCCACGCCTTCTCCAGACAACATATGGCGCCCATCCTTCGTCTCCCCTACTGGTCCTCTTACCGTTGGGGATTCCGTGATGAAGAATGATATGACCGCTGCGGTAGTGGCCAGGAACCTTCTCACTCCCAAAGATAACAGACTACTTTCCAAACGGTCTGATAAGTTGACTATTAAGGATTCTCTGGCTCTCAGTGTTCAGTGTGCAGGTTCTGTGTCTAACATGGCCCAACGCCTATTTATTCGAACCCGCCAAGTTGAATCATTGGCAGCTGAAGTGATGAGTCTCAAACAGGAGATTAGAGGTCTCAAGCATGAGAATAAACAATTGCACCGGCTCGCACATGACTATGCTACAAACATGAAGAGGAAGCTTGACCAGATGAAGGAATTTGATGGTCAGGTTTTACTTGATCATCAGAGATTTGTGGGTTTGTTCCAAATGCATTTATTGCCTTCGTCTTCTGGGGCTGTACCGCGTAATGAAGTTCCAAATGATCAACCTCTGATGCCTCCTCCTTCTAGGGTTCTGTTCAGTACTGAGACTCCAAATGATCCCCCTCCAGTGCCTGCTCTTTCTGGGGCTCTACCGACTGCTGAGATTTCTCCTACACAACCTTTGTGAAGGCTCCCTCTTGTTTGTTTATTTTGACTCATGTATATGTACATATTTGTGACTTATCGGGGATATCAATAAATAGTTTTCCTTCATTTCAACGTATTGTGTTAAATACACCAAAACCTTCTTCGCTAAGTTCTCTGAATTTCTTTTGTTGAAGCTTGTATGTTAAAGCTTTGTGAGTGGAGCATGTAGGTTGAGGTAGCATTCCCTTAATTTCCCGAGTGAGGAAAACTTCTCGGTTGGAGACTTGGAAAATCCAAGTCACTGAGTGGGAACGGCTATATGAATCTTTGAACGCCATTGTGCTCGGTCATGTGTCATGTCCTCCGTTAGATCCAAATACTCAAAGTCTTTTCTTAGAGTCTCTTCCAAAGTTTTCCTAGGTCTTCCTCTACCCCTTCGGCCCTGAACCTCTGTCCCATAGTCGCATCTTCTAATCGGAGCGTCAGTAGGCCTTCTTTGCACATATCCAAACCACCGTAACCGATTTTCTCTCATCTTTCCTTCAATTTCGGCTACTCCTACTTTACCCCGGATATCCTCATTCCTAATCTTATCCTTTCTTGTGTGCCCATACATCCAACGAAACATCCTCATCTCCGCTACACCCATTTTGTGTACGTGTTGATGCTTCACCGCCCAACATTCTGTGCCATACAGCATCGCCGGCCTTATTGCCGTCCTTTAAATTTTCCCTTGAGCTTCAGTGGCATATGGCGGTCACACAACACGCCGGATGCACTCTTTCACTTCATCCATCCAGCTTGTATTCTATGGTTGAGATCTCCATCTAATTCTCCGTTCTTTTGCAAGATAGATCCTAGGTAACGAAAACGATCGCTCTTTGGTACTTCTTGATCTCCGATCCTCACCCCTAACTCGTTTTGGCCTCCATTTGCACTGAACTTGCACTCCATATATTCTGTCTTTGATCGGCTTAGGCGAAGACCTTTAGATTCCAACACTTCTCTCCAAAGGTTAAGCTTTGCACTTACCCCTTCCTGAGTTTCATCTATCAACACTATATCGTCTGCGAAAAGCATACACCAAGGAATATCATCTTGAATATGTCCTGTTAACTCATCCATTACCA